TGTCGCTCAGAGAATCACATTGAGTTCATTAAAGGCCAGTAGCATTATCGCGCTAAGTGTGACTTGTTGCAACTTGGTAATCATATCCCTTAAACACTTGCTGGTTGCTGTGCATTGGCAGCTCCGTTCATCACAATTCACACAATCAGGATGACTTCATTTCAATTCTCATGGAGAGAGCACTCTTTTTAATTTAATTAGATTTACTATTAAAGGATGCATGTATTTGTTTGACTTTTTACATATTGATGTAATTGGAATGCCAAAACTTTTTTTTTTTAAATGTTAGGAAATCATTCAAACTCCGCACAGCTACTGAGTCACTTTTCCCTTTTCACATAACATGCATAAAGGCTGGAGCACAGGCAAAGAAAAGATGCCTCATTAAAAACAAGGGACAGGTTTAGGAGCTGGAGTGTGTTGAGTTTTGTGTGGATGCCAATGGTCTGCAAAGGCTAAACCCCCCCCCGCCTGAAATGCCTCTTTTGAAGTCGTATGTTTACTTCCACGACATAGTGACATCACTATGTAACACTCATATAACACGTCCTTTAATTGGCTAGCACTCCAACACATTGGACATGATAGGCTATCTGGGACATCTCTAAGCGGTTGACTAATCACAACAGAGCTGGCCAGCTAACCAATCAGTGCAGACTGGGCTCTGGTTTCAGACAGAGGGTGAAAGGTGCTGCAGCACAGGCAGTATGAGAAAAATAAAGAGCTTTCTGAACATTAAAGCTTGGAGACATGTCACAGTAGAAGCTCAGAATACAAATCTATCCTGAAAATCTGCATAATAGGGCCTCTGTAAAGGTGCACACGGATCACTGAGTGGTTAAGATCAGAATTATAATTATTCTCCTTCTCATTACTGGGAAAACAAATGAAAGGCATCGAGGGCTTGACCAATGGATTTGAAAAGCAACATCATCCATCATGAACTTTATGCCTACTGTCCTGTGATTCCATTTTCTAATCAGGGGGTTTTTACTTTACTTCTTGCACGCTCTTGTCATTTGAATGTTTTGCTGTCTCTTTGATGCTCATCATATGAAAGAAATAGCTGATTGTAAAATCAGGCAGGCTTTGCTAATAAAGATCTGTAAAAAGTATTTAAACCATTTGTTTTGCATATTTTCTTGACATTGACAAGGAATGAAAAGTTAGTAACCAATTATATCGCCTATACATACTTAAAATACAACAATAAGCCAATTAACACATGTCACGTTTTCGGTCTGGATGTTTACATGATATGCAGTGAAGATACTGAACAGGATATTGTTTTTAAAATACCATAACAATGCCTGAATAGCTAATTAAAGGTACATTTCACATACTATATATAATCAAAAGAATATAAATTAAAGTACGTCACAAATGATGCATTGATGTCCTGGACGTGCAAATACAGAGTATAAGAAGCAATGCACCTTGGATAGAATCTGAAAAATATGAGTTGTGTTATTTTAATGACCCTAACAAAACATATGATGCTGATTTTTGACTGAAAATGGCACTGTCTTTAGAAATTACTTTTATTTTGCAGACTACAGATGGAAACATAATGTCACAGTTCCACGAGTTTTGCAATATGTCCCTAGTTCCTGTGCTCATGACAATGAAACGGATGGGTGTTTGTATTCCCTGCTCGCTAACAGACTGGGAAGTGAGTCCACAACAACAGGCTGTGCCACCAATGAGGGATTAAGACCTCCTCTAAAGAAAACCCCAAAGGGTTTCTGTGCGTGTCTAGTCAACAGAATGAAAACTTCTGACAATGGAAAAACATCAAAACCACGAGAATCAAAAATTGAAATGGCCAGCCTTGGAGAATTTGCTAAGACGGGAACAATTGCTGGCAAAGCAACGGCACAGAATTCACTAATGGAAGCAGTTAAATTGTGTTTTTGCTCTAAAAATAGTGCGCTGTGCTTTTTTCTTCTCCCTGGGGTTTTGAGAGGTGCAGGTGTGTTCTTGGGATGTGTGCAATTGTGACTCTGAAAACACTCAAAAATGCACACACCATATAAGCTCTGCTGCACAGTCTGTGTTCACTTAGAGCACTTAATCAAACAGTTTTTGCAATATCATATATAACGTCTTCGGGGGGGCTCTGAGACAAATAACTGGGTTTGCAATTTGCTCTTGATAAGTTGATAATGTATTTCATAAGCGATGCACCGACTTCAGTCCACTAGATATGTATCAGCAGATGTTTTGTTGACAGAGTAAAAGATTATTTCAGGCACTGGTCCAGAATTGGTTTAGGACTGACTGAGATGTGATGACTGAAACAACAGCCCAAGCTATTTCAATTCATTCTCACAATCATTGCATTTTTTAGGATGCACTTGTCCTTCTATAAATGTGTTCATCTTAACAGTAAAACAGCTAGCTTTGAATTAAAGGTTTTATCAAAAGACAATGTAGGAAATAATTCAGTTTACGTTATTTAATACAAATAGCATAGGTCTGTTTGACAATAATACGTAGTTCATGGACTAACTGATGATGTTAAGTGTATTCTGTCCTTCATAGAAAAAGCTTCAGATAATATAAATTATTATTCTTACTACAAAATGTAATACAGATAATAAAGTGCAGATCAATATTATGTTAGTCTTTAGACACTACACTGCGGCACATCGCATGATATTGTGTGATGGCCAATAGATAATGGGTGGTATTTGAAAATGTATATAATTCCTATTTTTTAAATATTAATAAAGTGTTATTATACAAGGAACATGCAGACATATATAATAACCCCAAAAAGAAAGATTTAGTTATTAGCTAATGTTTATATGAAATAAATATTATATATATATGGCAAACATAATATGATGCCAAATGTCTGATATACTGACATGTCTGAATTGACTGCATTTTATGTATTCAAAATGATAATGCAAAACATCTGTTGGCTTTTAATTCTATGAGAGGCAGAGAATATAATAACCTACCCCACAGACATACACTTTAAGTACCAACGCTGTCCTGACCCTTTTCATATCTTTGTGTTGTATCTGAAGAATAGGCTTTCTGTTCTATAAAAGCTTGTATAACTACATGATCTAGTATGTCATACATTGAACTAGAGATGTCTGTTTTCACAGGTAGTTTTAAAGCATTTCATTAAAATAATAAAGCAAAATGCTCTATGAAAACCAAAGTATGGTGAAGTGTTTTTGATGAAAAATGTATGAACATTGGAAAAGACAGAGCTTAACTTTATGTTAACAAAAGTGATGTCAAGTTCAGCGTTATGGAATCATTGAAATCATCCATCTTTACTGACTACACCTTAACCTTTCCTCCCATCCAGTAAGCAAAAACGATAGGTTCTTTTAATATAACAAACATTTAAAATATACTGTTATTTTATCTTCCATGAGAAGCAGGTAATTATCGGCTGTTTTAAATCCATCTTGTGTATCCTTATTTCAATCGTTGTCATCCTTTGTATTTCCTTTCTGCACACTGCACAGAATGTATCTGCATGTTTAGAGACAGTCTATGTCCAACTGCCTTAAAAAGCAATATATAGATCCTCACTGAAAGGGAGAGGGGGTTATAGTAAAACTGTGCAGACAAGCGGAAACACAGGTAGACCAACACAATGCATAGTTCGAATGATAAAGAGAAGCGGGTGCACAATAGAGGAATAATCAGGACAAGGCTGCTGAGCATGAATCCGTAGCCCGCTTCCCACAAGCACTCAACTGTGTCAAACAGCTTGGTCAATAATCTTCAGCAATTCCTGAGGATTAGAGTCTTATTACCGAGCACCGGCTGTCACACAGACCTCCGTGCTGTCTTCCAGTCTTCCTGACTGTTTACTCCAGCGTGGGCGTTTCATATAAATAAAGTTGAATATGGTTCAGTGTTTCATTTGTCTCATAAAGTTTTATTTGGTTATTTAATGTAATGCTATATGTGTGTGTGTGGTGTGGGTGTGTGTGTGTGTGTGTGTGGTGTGTGTGTGTGTGTGTGTGTGTGTGTGTGTGTGTGTGTGTGTGTGTGTGTGTGTGTGTGTGTGTGTGTGTGTGTGTGTGTGTGTGTGTGTGTGTGTGTGTGTGTGTGTGTGTGTGTGTGTGTGTGTGTGTGTGCGTGCAGTTAAAGCAATCTCCTAGGGGTTGTGTTAGTGGTGATTGACAGTAAACCCTTATGTAACCAACTCATATTAAAGCTACTTGAAGGTCTTTTAAATACATATTTAAAATATGTTGTGGTGAAAGTGGCAGTCTGTTTAATATGATGGAGCAGAACATTATTTAAATATGTTGTATCTACAGTATTATGTTCGGAATTAAGATAAAGATGATTAATGTTAGGGATTTGAGCATATACATTTTATTTCTGTAATACTATTGAAACACCAATAATGTCCCGGGACAATTTGACCCAAACATTACTAAAGGATCCAACATGTTTACATAATTGAAGGGTCAGTAACACTATAAAATGTTAAAAAATATAATGTTGTAATATTTATAGTATATCCAACTTGTGTCTGTGGAAATATTCCAGGCTTTAAGAAATGGTATATTGTATCTATTGTATACACACACAAAGAGGTAACCAGGGCCAGGAAAATAATTCTGAAAACTTGAAGCTCATGTATCAACAACAAGATCCAGACTGCAAAACTCTTGGCACAATCCAATTGTTTTTACTCCAATGGAAATTGTAAAATAACAATGACTGATTGGAGGATTACCTCTTAGAATTAAAAAGTAGCCGTTTGGAATGTGGGCAGATAATTAATGGGAGTATCTGCAACTCTTTACCCAGCAATGTTGCTAGTATTTTTGTTAGCTTGATTACGATTTTAGCTCAAAGATCAAGTAGTTAATTATGTGCTGTACCATGCACACTTGTAGATCTGACATAGCGAAGTGAACCCGGTGCCGTTGCCCTGCACTCAGCCTCGCCTCGTATAGTTGGACAGGAGGAACAATCCCCACAAAGTACGGCTACACACAAGTTCTTACCTTGTCCATGTATTTTCACCACGGCAGCAGAAGCGAGAACCAAAACCCCGAAGAGGGTCTTCAATTGACAGCCTTGTCTCGCGCACATGTCTACTAAAGTCGGGGTCGCTCTTTCTCTTCGCTACAGAACACGTCCTTGTGTTGGGAAAGAATACTTCCAGGGCTCTAAAAAAAAAACAAGCGAGAAATGCGCAAAACACAAGAGAGCCGCGCGGGTTGCACTTCTTCTACACTAACCGGAGTGGAGAGAACGGAGAATAATCAAGTGAAATGCGGAGGTGGAGCGGATTCCAGCGCGTGTGAGCAGGCACATGGAGAGGAGAGGCTTCAGTACCGCGGACAGCTCCTAGCGTCCGCTCAGGGAACAGCCTCCAGTCCTAATCCTGAGCTCTGTGGATTTCCTTTGATTCCCTCCACATTGTTTCGGTTGTTTTCTAAAAACAGTCATCTTTTAAATATGTTTAACACATTCAATATTTTTATACCAAGCATATGTATTCAATTTTCCATTTCCATCAACGTAGCTGTCACAACAACTGACTCTTAACTCCTCCCTTTAAGAACCTCAATAGACTTCCACAGAAAACCCTCTTTAACTGTGCAATTATTCTTTCATAATATTTTGAATAATATTTATTTTTGTAATAAAATGTATTATTCAGTTTTTTATATTATTGTGTTATCTGTTATGTATCATTATATATTGTATTGCATATTTTACTTGACCTTCTTGTGTTCTATATAGATAAGCTTATTCTATTTTATTTAGATGTTGTCATTTTATAGCATAGTTGTCTTTAACTTATCGTTATAAATACTTTTTGATATAGTTTATTGCAAAATAATTCTGGTTGAACATGAAGATGGCACACTCAGTGTTCGAAAATACTTATTTTAAATCCTTAAAAGAAATAAGACTTTAATTGAAGACTCTGTTTGAAAAAAATGGTATAAACACAGTTCAAATGTCCTCTACCTCCTCCCTCATTAACTTGCATTGCTTTTCATTTCTTATCCAGGGCTGCAGTCGAATAGTCCATTTAGCTTAGGAACCTTCCTAACCGAGTGAAATGACCCGGAAGTCCCTCAGTGGCAGCCATGATAAGTGCCGTCGAATTCTCTAGAATGATAGGAAAGGAGGTTTCAAACTTCCTTTATAACCTCCTTTAGCTTAGGAACTACTGGACCTCCCTAACCGAAAGGAGAGGAGAAAATGCTCCGTCCACACTCACAACAACGGCATTCTTTCACACACAATGACGTCACGAGCTTCCCACAATGCAACACGCGCCATATAAATATATATAAATGCGCCATTTTCCTGGAGGTGCTAATATCCTGGAAGTGCAAATATAAACAGCTTGCTAACTAGCCAGGCAGAGCGCAGTAGGTTTTTTTTTCTGAATTAACGACCGAAGAAATCGCTGCATGTCTTCGGATTACATCTCTGGACTTGAGGGGTGTGCTTTAGGTCGTTACCAGCGTACACTAGAGCTGTGTGGGTTGTTACAGACTGCCTGCAGATGTATGGAAAAACGACAGTGGCCTTCGTCGATTTTGGCTGCATCTACGTCTAATTTCTGGAAACACCAGGTGAATACCCCACTTGTCACAATAATATTATCATGCCAATGCATATATGTTGTATTTTAGAGTTGACTAGATATTGATTAAGGCAATAGACTATGATATTCTGTACAGGAAGCTTAGCAACACCTAGACGGTGTACGGCTGCTTGCACCTCGCGTAAAACGGCGCAGACCGGAAGTACGGTGTCGCGCTCGTCCCAATACCCGTATGTGTGTGTGAAAGAATACAGACATAAATAAAGCAGCGACTGTATTCACCATGACATAGACAGTCTGTGGTTTGTTCATGTTTAACTTTTGTCCAGTTTCTAAACAGATATGAGGAGCTGTGAGCTCTGAGTGTGTGCTAACGGCTGATGTTTCAGGACATGTTGCGCTGTCGGGTGATGACCAATCACGAAGCGTCATTTATTGAAAGGCAGCAAAAACAACCAATCACAGCAGTGCTTCTCTGGCTGGCTCTGTCCAATCACAAACAAGAAGTGTTCTCCCTATACCCTTTCCGTATACGTTGAAATGCTGTGGTGTTTCCTGAAATGCTGTAGCGTTTTCTGAAATGCTGTGGTGTTTCCTGAAATGGACGTGACTTGCACTTCAGGGCCACCGTACAGGACAGCAGCTGAGTAGAATTTTTTTAGCTGTTAGACCCATTCCCAGTTAGGCTCAGACCCTGCTGTGCATGACGAACTCTGTGGTGAGACGGTCCTCAGGTGCTGGAAATAATCATGCCACGCTCTGAGTCTCTTGGGTCACTTTCTTTTTTTACCCTTTCCTGGGTTCAGTTTATGTCTCAGGGCTGTATCTATTTGCCAGTGATGTGTCTGCCCAGAGCTTGCAGGAGAATGTTACTTTAATGAATAAAGTGGGCAGCCTAAATTGGATTCTGCGGGTAAAGAATATCGAGAAAATACAGTATTTGGTCTCTGTAGCAGCCAGAGCTAAAGCTGTGACAAGGACATAACATATAATGAAAGCAATCCAAGAGAAAAGAGCTAGTTAGTATCATGTGTTGGCAGAGAGTCACTGAACTGAAGCATGAGGAAGACACCTGACTCATCCCAGCTGCATGCTGAGTGGATGACCTTTGACCTCCCTTTAGAGTCCGAGCAAGTGAAAGATCAATACAGTATTACATCATTGTTCTTCTCGTTAATCAGAGTAAGGTAAGTCATTATAAATTCTCTTAGACAGCAAAATAGTTGTTACGAACCATGATCTTGTGTGTTTGCCTTTGCCCGTGTCGGCCACTGTAGGGGCATGATAGAGAAAAATGGATAAAGAAGATTTCATTTTTTTCTTTGCTTTTTGAATAAATATTGACAATAGAGTTAAAAAACTAAATTAGAATAAAGTCAAAATATTTACAATAAAGTCCAAATGTAGGGGGGAAAAGTGTACTTAATGGATAAAGTGAAAGGATGACTATATTCCTGACCCAAAATGAAATAAAATGTCTCCAATATGTATACATATATAAAGCAGTATTCAGTCTTAATATGTCAAAAGCAATTATTATTATTATTAAATGGTATGATAAGTATGTTGAAATATGCTCTGCCCAAAGTATTTATAGATAGGATCTACCATGCATATCATTACATCATATTTAGTTATCTAGGTCAAACTAGCCAGTTATATGAAAACATGTTCAATACAGCCAGTAAAATAATTGCTACTGTATGTTCCTGAATTCTGTACACTTCTACATACTGTAAGTGATGCAGGAACACTAATGGGTGAGTTTCAGAAATGGTTCACAGGAAGTAACAAGCAACAAAACATGTGATTTTTCAGGATGGTTTTGTGTCACCCGCACAACAGAAGAAACATCAGGTTGACGTGCATTCACAGGCAGGCTGTTGTGCGAGGAAAGAGCAAAACGGAATCAAAATAAAAGCAATTAGAAGGCGAGTATAGAGATGCGGGCTGGGTGCGGGGAATAAAAGCGCTATAAGAGACCCACAGTCAGTCGACACTAAAACAGTGTGTGTAAGCAGATGCTATTTCAAAACAAGACCACTCGGGCTAAAAATAAAAGGTGGTTGTATGTACGCCTGTTCTCTGAGGTCTGCACATGCATTATCGTACTGTAAGCCATAAGTGTGATGTGTTATTGTCAGGAAGGATGAACCCTCCCACCTCTCTGTCACACCTCTGGCACTTAAGACTCAACTGCTTCTTTGATATTTCATTCATTGTTGTCGTTGTTGCACAAGGAGTCCTTTCCCACTCTCCTTAATACTTCTGCTTTGTTATTTGTCATGTTGACTTTTCTTCCGGGTTCTATTTGACTTTGTCTCACTTTGTCCTCCTCTATCACTTTGTCATCCCCTTTCCTTCTAAATGTATCTCTTTGTTCCCCCCCTACATCCCCACACGTGGGACACTCTGCATCTCTCACTTCTAGTCTGACTCAGAAAAGGGCTCTAATAGTGTAACTTTCCCTTTGGTGAAGCTCGGCGGAGCTATAAAGCAGCTCTGAGGTCTAGCTGGCAGCCAGATGGTTTCAGCAGAGCTCTCATTCTGCTAATGGGAAGGGGGCAGAGCAGTTAATGAAATGACCAATGTACAAAGGTAATGAGGCACACATCGACTGCAAGCCTTTACACGCATTAAAGTAATCTGAGATGGCAGGATTATGTAAAAAAAAACATTTTACGATGACTGTTCATTAGATGGCTAAGGACTGACTGATTATTCCGCGGCCTGTTCGGCTAACAAACACACTCCCACTGACTCAGAGCTGTCTGTGATATTCAGATTGACTGGCTTGGCTAAGTGCTTCATCAAAGCAAGGATTGTGTGCCAAATGCTATCAATGAGTCTCTGCCCACGTGGCATTTCACCCTACAAATTACAGCACACATTACACTCAGTGACGGCAACACTATCACAGTCACAGGACTCACAAATGCATGCGCAGCTAATCATCATGCATTACATTCACAGTGCGGAACTGTGACCCCTTTCAGCAAACAATCGCAATTAGAGTAGTAGCCCAAAATCTGTTCACTGTTATTTACTGCTATTTGTCTTGCGTTAGGCCATGTCGATCAGGCTGCAGCTGCTACAGGGGAGGAGATGTTAGATATTTAGGGTTTGAAACTAGGGATGATACAAGAGTATGTTGGGGACAATAACAACAACATGAATCAGTAAAATAGCTCATGTTCTTGCCTGATGCTGCAGCTTTAGGATTCCATCAGACAGAAAGTGTCAGACAGAGCATGTTTTTATCCTTGGGTTGCTTTATGTTATTGTGTTTAATGAAGGGGGGCTGTTTGCCTACTTCCTTTGGGAGAACATCAGCTTTTTTTCCCTCTCAATGTGTCTGGGTTTCTGCAGTTGCACGAAATAAATCAGCTCAGGGCGAAAAAATACCCAACTTCATGACCAATTTTCTTCCATTGCTCAATAAGATGATTTGAGAGGCGGGATATCTGTATGGTTTTACCAACAATACTGTAGCTAGCATGATCTGAACAGAAATTGGAGATTTTTGGAAATTCTTTTCATTACTTTAAACTTTAGTATTAACTGTGACAAACCATGAACTAGCGTTAGCACTCATTTGGTTGTTGCCTAGCAACAATTAGTTTTCGAGAAACAGCTAACTCTGTTTGAACTGGGA